CCTATTGACTAGCACTTTGTCTATTATAGTGTAGAGGTTAGGAACCACAAGATGTAGAGGCTCAGCTATGTCATTTACTGTTCTTAAGTCCTGGAGCAAATTCCATCTACCACTGGGTTGTTTTCTTTTTAAATGACTAAGAACAAATAAAAGGCATCATCTGTGAGGTGCCGTAAAGGACAGCGCAGTGAAGTGAAGTGGCCTGAGTCCTGAGCCACCAGCGAAGATACCAGTGTGTCTGACCGGCCGGAGTGCCCTGGATGGGTTGGCCAGTGGCTGAGGTGGTCACCCAGCTCCCGGCAGAGGGGCCAGGGCGATGAGCTTGTGCTAAGTGGGGCGCTCAGAATGGCCCACTTGGCCGGACTCGGCCTCAGTGGCAGATGATGAGATGGGACCAGAGTGGCGAGGAGACCTCAGGCCGTCTCCCGGGGCCTCTGAGGAGCCTCTCCTGTGCTGGGCGTTGTGGTCCACCTGCCCCTCCCCTCTTGCCAGATCAGTGCTCCCTGGGGACAGGGACTGGGTTTTTATGCTTTAGTGCAGGCTCAGCTTGGAAAGTTGAATGAAGGAAACTTCCAAGGTTCTCTGGACAGAAGAAACGATTTATGTTGAGTTGACAGCAACACAAGGTGGCCTCATGTGGGCTGGGGTACAGCTGGACCCCATGGGTTTTTCGATTTTTACACGTGGACTGCCAGGTGTTTTTTCTGAGGTGCTTCTGGTGGGTGGTTTGATAATTGTCAATCTTGCAGCTCGCAGACCAGTGTGTTCCCCATTTCCATCACCCAGGGACTCCCCAGGGCAGAAACTTTGGGAAACCAGCATCCTGGAGGCTTGGAGGACAGGGCTATGGCCTGGGCCTGGGTCATGGCCAGGAGTGGCCCAGCCCATCTCCATGGGGGCAGAGGGACAGGGCTGCTGCTTCCTGGGAGTCTGCTACTTCCTGTGACCTGTCACATAGTTTCCTGACACCGGGCACTGGGACAGGGGTTCTAGCTGGGAGGCCGAAGGGGCATCCAGCTGCCCGGCACATGGGCACTGACCTGCCTGTCTTCGTGGCCACTTGGCAGCAGAGCCCCTGCCCTCTGCCCTCTGCCTCTGCCCCAGGTACTTAAGGGCCGCCTGGAGTGGACAGAGCTGTTGGGGCCACCGAAGTGGTGGCAGCAGGCCTCTCTCAGGCAGACAGACCAGGGCCCACCTGCCCACCCGTTCCACACTGTCCATGGATTTTGTCGCTGGAGCTATCGGAGGTAAGAAAGACAACCATGGGGGCTGTGTAGGGGACAGCTGCTGGGGACACCAGGTGGCCTGGGGGACATGGTGCTCGTGCCAGTCCTCTGTTCTTCCTGGCCTTGGGGGCTTTGAGCTGGTCCCCCAGAGAGCAAAGGTGTGGTGTGGACTGTGGGTCTTGGGAGGAGGACAGGGCACAGGGGAGGGGCACCAGCTGGGACAAGGATGGTCTAGGCTTGGGAGTTATGGGCAAGTAGGGGGATGATGAGACACAGAGAGGGACCAGGGGACAGGAGGGTGGAGAGGGGAGTGGGACCGGCTGGGCAGGGGGCTGCTCACTCAGCCCGGCCTCACTGGGCCTGCGGGGTGGTTCTAGCCGCTCTCTGCTATGTGCTCCCCTTTCCCCACCCCCCAGGAAGGGCTGGTTGTTGTGAAAGATCCACCCACAGAGATAACGGCAGGTTGGGAAACAGGTCCCACGCCTGGACCGCAGGCTGTGGGCAAGGTTCCAGAACAGGCACCCTGGCATGTTCGTGTTGTGAAATGGGTGAGAGCTGAGCCATCCTCCTGGGAGCGGCGTGGAGGCAGAGGAGGGAGTCCCGAGCTGGAGGACAGCAGGGGGCTGGCTCCTTGTGGGGACACGCTCACACCCACCTAGGCTTTCTGAGGTTCTGCTGTCCAGCCGGCCACACTCCCTAACATAAGCCCCCTAAAGAGGAAACTTAGAAAAAGGACTTGATGGCCCAAAGTCGCACAGCCAGGAGGGGTCCAGCAGCCTTTCCTCCGGAACAGCAGGAAGGCCAGGGTGGATAAGGCCTCTGTCCACGCCTGGCCTGAGCCCTGACCAGGACAAGCTGTGGTTCTGGTGCGACAGCTGCAGGTCAGGTGACAAGGGCTCTGACCAACAAATGCTTTCAGGCGCAGAGTCTGGCCGAGCGTGAGGTCTGGGAGGGCTCTCGAGGTGTGAGGAAGGGCTTTGACGGATGCATAGGAGTCTGGGGGATGGTCCAGGAAGATAATTCCACACAAGTCCACCATGCACTAGTTCTTTCACTTAGTCCTCCTCACACATTTCCTTTGGGTCCTGGGACACAGTTAAGAGGACACCGCGTGTTTCCTGTTGCATTCTAACCAGACCTCCCCAAAGTGTGCGGCCCCTTCCCCAACAGGGGTCCACCAGCTCCTAAGTCAACAGTCCATTGTGGGGCCAGGGGCTTGGACATTGAAGCCTGGCACCAGGAAGGAGGGACGGGGTGACACAGAGCCTTCTGAGTGCAGAGGGCAGAGAGCCTGGTCTGGGGAAGCAGCCCTGATGTGCAGGACCCTTGTGTCAGGTGTGGACTCGCATCTGTCCCTCCACACAAACTGGTGGCCCGAGGCAGCGCCGGCTCTTCCCAGAGTCCAGCGGGTGATTCATCAGGTTCTTATCTCTCTCTGGCCCCTGCTCGGGGCCTGCCCCCTGCCTCCCTTCGCTGGACTGAAGACTGTAGTCACAGACTGACCGCTGAGGCCGGGGATGCGCCTGGAGGCCGGGGGCAGCAAGTACAGCCCTGTGGACAGACAGACTGAGAGCGACTCCAGGGCGTGGTGCCAGAGAGCCAGCGGGAGTGCTCCTGGTCCTCGAGACACTCTACTTCAAGGGGAGGACATTGTCACTGCATGGCCACGTCCCTCTCTGCCCCCAGGATGGACAGGCTGCGTGGAGTCTGTTCTCCCAGGCCTCCGTCCTTCGTAGCCTAGGGTCCTCGCGAGCCACCGTCCACTTTCTCACTGGGCTCTCTGGCTTCCTTCCAGGTGTCTGCGGTGTTGCTGTGGGCTACCCCCTGGACACAGTGAAGGTTCGGTGACCTCCAGGCCCCAGCCTCCACCCCAAGCTCCCTATGGCCTGTGGCCCCCTCTCTCAAAGCCTCTTCTGCCCGTCTAAGACCAGAAGAAATTTCTAGAATGCTAGTCAGACCTAGCCCTCCCTGCTCCAGCGCCTTCAGTGGCCCCCATGGGCCTAGGAACTCTCCCCTCTCCTTGTCACCCCCCTGCCTCAGTGTCTCATCTTAATGAAGCCCTCAGTCCCAGCTCTGTCCACAGTCATGGGTGACTGGCCATCCCTGGGGGCTACTGGCTGGCCTGAGCCACCCCTTCCTGAAATCCACCTTTCCTGCAGGTTAAGATCCAGACAGAGTCGAAGTACAAGGGCATCTGGCACTGTATCCGAGAGACATACCGACACGAGCGGGTAGGTCCATGGGCTTTGTGTGGGGGCTTAAGACTCACACTCACCTCCCAGCCAGGCCCCCTGTCGGAGCCTCAAGTCTCCCCACCTTCCAAATGGGAGTAATTGTGTCTTCCCCCAAAGGCCCCCTGAGCCTGGAGCTGAGCCTTCCGGCCGGGGCATCATGAAATCCAGTGTGAGCTGTGGAAGGAGGTGTTTGGGCACCTGGACATCACAGATGGGTGGTCTGCCTATTCCCTTCAGGCCATGCACCCCTTGAAGGAAATGCTGGGTCAAGTCAGGAGGGCCCCCAGGGTACAGATTCCCCAAAGGAATCTGGGGACCCTAGCCATTTCCTGACCCACAGGACGTACAGTATCTATCTACATTTTATATATCTGGGGCTTAGTGGGAGCCTGATGTCCCACATTTAGGGTGTGCTGCCATCTAGTGGGGACTTGGGTAATGGCCCAGATCTGAAGAAACAGACCTTATCCCAGGATTCCTTGGAGCAGATGTATCCCACTAATTGTGATGTTAGAGAAGAGTTCTGAACGGCCCAGAGCTGTGGGGTTAGAAGAGAGTGCTGAATAGCCACGGACGTCCAAAACAACAGACAGATACGTCTCAGAGAAGGTGCAGTCCGAGCGCCCCTGAGAGGCAAGGGTGGAGAAGCTTTGCCTCCCATACTGTGGACACGTTGCTAGGAGAGGCTGTTCCCTGGAAAGGGACATCATGCTTGGAAAAGTAAAGGGTCAACGAAAGAGAGGAAGACCCTCGATGAGATACAGTGACACAGCGACTGCAGTGGGTTCAAGTGTGTCAAAGATGGTGACGGCGGCACAGGATACAACAGGATTCATAGCTGTTCACAGGGTCGGTACGAGTTGTACTCAATCACACCTAACAGCAACAACTACAGTTATAATCAAGGCAGCTCTGGTGGCCTTGTGGTAAGGAGTTGCACTGTCAACTCAAAGTCACGTGGTTTGAATCCACCAGCTGTTCTGAAGAAGAAATGGGGACAATCCCTTCCTGTGTAGTTTGTCGTTGTTGCTGGATGTCTTTGTAATGCACAGCGACCCTGTGGACCACAGACCTGAGCCCTGTCCTGTGCTGTGCTGCGCCGCCCTCACCATCTCTGACACACTCGGGCCCGCTGCAGCCGTCACTGTGTCAGCCCACCTTATTGAGGAGGGTCTTCTTTTCTCCTGCTGCCCCTCCGTGTTTCTGACCATGATGTCGCCCTCCGAGGAATAGCCTCTCCTAGCGACGTGCCCCAAGTATGTGAGATGAAACCTCGTCATCCCTGCCTCCAGGGAGCCCTCTGGCTGCACCCGCTCTAAGACATGCGTTGGTTCTCCCGGCAGTCCATGCACTTGCCAACACTCTCTCCAACACCACGGCTCTGTGCGATTTACTGCCTCAGAAAACCTGCCGGAGGGCCAGCTGTGAGTCGCTTCCGACTAGGCATGTAACAGCGACAATGACAATGGTATCAAAACCCGTACTATATCAAAGTAAAAAACCTTCATTCAAAATCCCTCCGATGATTGAAAGCACATGTTTTTAGGAAAAAAATCAAAGAAGAACAAGGATTTCCTTTGGAAGGGTGAAGCAGAGCGAAATTTGATTCTGTGTCAAATCCAGAGAGAACTAACGAGAACTAACCCAGAATTTAAGCCCACGCGGCCGACTCGGGTTTGAGTCACTGCAGCCCCACTGCACCCCAGGTCTGCGGATCGGAGTGGGGGGGAGCCTGTTTCCTCTCGTTGTGGCTGGTGGATTTCAACTGCTGACCTTTTGGTTAACAGCTTGACAAGCCACACTCTAGGCCACCATGGCTCCTCCGCTAAAGGCTACTGCAATCCCACGCCTTAGTGGGCAGCCTCACCAGGTCGCTGTCTACGTGGCAAGCTTCCTCAGAGCTGGGCCCCCAGACGTACGGCATCTCAAGTCTCCCGTCCTGAGAGCTGACGTGGGCCCATTTCACAGCTGAGGAAGCTGAGTCTCTGAAACAGTGTGTGGCTTGCCTGAGTTGGGATTAGAGGCCAATTTGTGGGGCCCGGGCTGGGCTGTGACCACCTGCCCTTGGTCCCTCTGCCCGCCAGGTGCTGGGCTTTTACAGGGGCCTCTCACTGCCTGTGTGCACCGTGTCCCTGGTCTCGTCCGTGTCCTTCGGCACCTACCGCCACTGCCTGGCGCACCTCTGCCGCCTCCGATACGGCAGCACCGACACCAAGCCCGCCAGGGCCGACATCGCGCTCTCAGGATGTGCCTCTGGCTTCGTCCGCGTGAGTCGGGTGTGGGTGAGCGGGAGGCCACAGAGGGGGCTGCAAGACAGGGACACAGGCGGGGAAACGGAGGCTGGATGAGGACAGACACGGAGGAGGCTGCACAGTGAGCCGGAGTGGATGAAGAACTGGGTGCCCATTGGGCAGGCTTGCTCTGGACAGCACACTGCCAAGGGGTCCCCGTAGATGGATGACCGACAGGCCCCGGCACCCTCCTTGTCATGGCCCGGGGACCCCAGAGCGACAGGAGTGCACCTGGGAGCCAGCGTGACACTAGCCCAGGTGGCCCAGGTCGGGGCAGACAGGCCCTGTGACCGCTGACCTCCTGAGATCTCCAGTGTGGGCAGGGAACAGTCCCCCATCGCCTTCCGTCTGATAGGCCTGGACATCAGCAGGTGCTCCAGTGTCACGGAGACCTTCCTCGCCAGGCTGCTTGAGGGCACAGGGGAAAGTGAGGCCACAAGGTCCGCATCCTCATGGGACTCACACCCCAGTGAGTCAGACACACAGGCCGCCAGGGCCCGCGAGCCACGTCAAGCCTCGTAGAAGGTTCTGGGTGAGCAGACCCGACTCCTGGCTCCGGCTCTCATTCACCAGGTGACTCTGAGCCAGCTCTGGAGCCTCTCGGACCCTCGATCTCTTCCTCTGTAAGAGACAGGGTGAGGATTAAAGGAGATCCTGGGTGGCAGGCCCCAGCTTGGTGCCGGACAATTGTTAGCACCCACGAGAAGGCAGCCAAGGTCATTAGCAATATCGTCACGCTCCCGATGATTATCGTGCTGTCAAAGACGTTCGGGTCCTGAGTCAGAGACGTCTCCTCACCACCAGCGTACGGTGGCGCATGCTACTGAAGGGCACCCAGGCTTTGGCCTGTCAGGGAGATGAGTTTCCAGCCCTGCTCCCTCCCAGCTCAGGTCAGCTGCCATGGCTGGGCGAGCTGAGGACAGGCGATGAAGGGGATGGGGTCTCCAAGCCCGATGTCCCCCTCCCTCTCCCCCAGGTGTTCCTGACCTCCCCCACTGAGGTGGCCAAGGTGCGCCTGCAGACACAGACACAGCAGCGGCGTCTCTCGGCCTCGGGGCCCCCAAGTGCACTCCCTGTGTGTCCTGTGGCCGCTGCACCCAAGTATCGGGGTCCGCTGCACTGCCTGGCCACGGTGGCCCGCGAGGAGGGCCTTCGGGGCCTGTACAAGGGCAGCTCGGCCCTGCTCCTCCGTGATGGCCACTCCTTCGCCACCTACTTCCTCTCCTATGCCATCCTCTGCGAGTGGCTCACCCCTGCTGGCCACAGCCAACCAGGTGAGGCTGGAGCTGGCTGGGAGGGCAGGGGCAGGGGCAGGGGCTCAGCCAGCACGTGGCAGGGGGCTGGACCAGGGAATGGGGACCTCAGCCCAGCAGGATCGAGTTCCTTGGAAGGGCCGAGCCGCAGTGGCACCCGGGTGAGCCCAGGATGGGAGGCGAGTTCCTCCTCTGCAGATCAGTCCCCTTAACGTGTGTAGACATGACGTCAGGGCAGGTGGGCTCTCCCCAAGTTTTGGTCTTGGACAAGTCGGTCTTCCCACTTGCTGGCAGCGTGACCCCGTCTCCTCCGGCCCTGGCCTCTGCCCCGCCACCCTCACTTGTGTCCCTCCCTGCAGATGTCCTGGGTGTGCTGGCGGCCGGAGGTTGTGCAGGGGTCCTGGCCTGGGCCGTGGCCACCCCCATGGACGTGATCAAGTCGCGCCTGCAGGCAGACGGGCAGGGCCAGCAGCGCTATCGGGGCCTCCTGCACTGTGTGGTGACCAGTGTGCGTGAGGAGGGCCCGCGGGTCCTCTTCAAGGGGCTGGCTGTCAACTGTTGCCGGGCCTTCCCTGTCAACATGGTGGTCTTCGTCACCTACGAGGCTGCACTGGGGCTCATGAGGGGTCTGCTTAGCTAGCTGGTCCCCACAGTCCTGGGGGCCCGGCCCTCACATGCCCTGATGTCCTGGTGGCTGAGGCCCCCAGTGTCCCGACATCTCTGGGTGTCCTGACGCCTCCCCACCATGTTCTGATGTCACCCCTCTACTGAGTTGACCGCCTTGTTTCCTGATGTCCCTGGCGACCCAATGATCCTGGCCAATGTCCCCTAGTATCCTGACGTCCCTGGGTATCCCAACGTCTCCCTACCGTGTTCTGATGTCCTTGGTGTCCTGATGTCCCTGGGTGTCCTGATGTCTCCCCACCATGTTTTTTTTGTTTTTTGTTTTAAATTTTTTTTGTGTACCATCAAAGCAGAACATTTGGTGGATTCGAACTGCATACCTCTGGGATTGCAGCGCAGCTTTTTGCCACTAGGCCATCAGCGCTCCCTTGCCCCACCATATTTTGATGCCTCTGGTGTCCTGATGTCCCTGGGTGTCCCAACATTTCCCCACATTTTGAGGCCCCCAGTGTTCTGATGTCCCCCCACTACCGTGTTCTGACCCCTCCTGTGTCCTGACGTCCTTGGTTGTCTAGATGTCTCGAGTCGGCCACCAGCTGCCTGGAGAGAAGACAGAGGGAGTCTTGGTCCTTGGCTCATAGGGCGATGGCCCAGGGCAGTCAGTGCCCAGGTTGACCAAGGGAAGGTCAAGGGCAGGGCTGCACCAGCCTGGCGGGAAGACTTGGCCAGTGGGCCTCCGTGTCTGACGCACTGTCCGTTGTCCACCCAGCCTCCAGCACCCCCTGTGGAGAGCCCCCCATCATCTGTGATAACTCCCGACTAGCTCTACTATTTATACTGTGCTGTCCATGTACCATCCTCACCCCATCTTCACAGGAAGCTTGGGGTCCATACGCCTGGTCCCCTTCCCAGAGGAGCTGGGCTGGTGGCAGGATGTGGATGCAAGGCCCCGCTTGCTCCCTTCCTGAGCTGTGCAGTGGGTTCTTCCCAGGCAGCCATGCTCCCTGGGGGGCACCCTGTCTTGGGCTCTGGGGGGATCTGCTGTCTGGAATGTCATGAAGGATTGAAAGGAACTGTGGTTAATAGTCATGGAGGCTGCCAGTGGGGTTGCTCCGTGGCCTGAGAGCCTGCTGTCCAGTCACTGCCACCAGGGTACCCAGGTACCACTTGATGTCTGCTTGCCCATGCTGGAAGGGTGGGGGCTGCTGGTCCAGCCTCCTGAACCTCAGGCTCCCATGGTACAGACAGGCACACTGAGGCCCAGTCCAGTTCTCTGTTTACTCCACTCCTGGCCATTCTGGCTGGAGGGCTGGCCTGGGCAGAGGACCTATGCCAGGGACTGCTGAGGGGGCAGTGGGATGCCCTGACCTGCGCTCCAGCCTGCACTTCCCTGCAAGGAAAGCTGGCTCCAGCCAGTTCCACCCTGCCCTGGCCTTGCCCATCCGACACCTGGCTTTGAGCCACCTTCAGAAGAGGTGGGAGGTGTGGACACCCTGTGCCGGCATCCCGGCCATCACATTGCTGGCTGACGTCAGATGATGGGGCTGGCTCCAACAGGGGTCATGCCAGAAGCAGCAGAGGGGATGGGACGTGGGGGTGTTTCTGAACTGAACCCTCCTCGGCCCGTGGGAGGCTCCCGTGATTACCCTTGTCGGGCTGAGAGAGCAGGATGGTGGGTCTGGCCACAGCAGCCCTTCCAGCTTGCTCAGCGTGACCCAGGCTGGGTCTTTGGCCTGAGCGACTTCCAGGCCGACTGGACAAACAGCCGTGTTCCCAGAACTGGGTGGAGCTCCCACCCCAGCTGCTCTGCACATGCTGTTCTCTGTGCCCTCTTCAGCCTGGCTGAGCCTCACCTAGTGCACCACCTCCTTCAGGAAATCCTCCTGCCTAGCCTTCACCAGGCTGCACCTCTGTGCCTGATGTGTGTTCCACGGACATGTCAATAAACCAAAACCCAGCCCCTGCTGTCAAACTCTGACTCATGTTTCTGAAGGTTCCTGGAGCTGTAACTCTTTATGGGAGGAGACTGCCCAGCCTTCTCCCTCGAAGCAGCTGGTAGATTTGAACTGCTGATCTTTTGGTTAGCATGAAAGTCTTGGGAAACTCCGAGTTCTGGTCAGTGTGGGAGGAGGGCTGGAGCTGGGGACAGCCATTCGCTCGTCCCACCGCTGGCCTGGGCTGATTGCAGACGGAAGGACCTAAGGTCCCAGCTGTGAAGGAGAGCTAGGGGCCTGCCAGCTCACAAGGGACGTGTCCCTTCCAGAAGTGTGGGACCTGTGACCTACGTCACTGACCTGCACCCCTGTGCCCCGGAGGCCACCCATCCACACCTCCAGGTGCAAAGACCTCTAGAGGGGAACGGGCTCAGCCTTCTGAGCTGCTGAATTGCGACTGTTCATTTCCACAGCATATTGGCTTGCTTTTCAGTAACTCACACGCTTCGTGACGGATCACACCCTCCACCGTGGGACAGCACTGCGCCCGCTCCCCGTGTGTCGCGTTTCGTCTTGTTCTTTGCTCTCCCTCCTGTCTGCTGAGCCAGCTGGCAGGTGCTGCCCTCTGCGCTCTGGCTGATGGACCGAAGGAGCGTGCACAGCCCTCAGCACACCTGTTTCTGGCTGGCCGAGCCTTCCCTTTGAAGCGGGGGCCGGGCTTCAGTGCGCACAAGGGGCTGGCCCAGCCTCAAACCTGTCCAGCACCGTAAGGTCCCGATAACAGCAGCTCAGTCAGAGGGACAAGGCTGAGAGTTACCAGCTGTGACATTTATTACCCTTTCTGCACAGACTGAAAGACGCGCGCCCACGCAGGGTCCGGGACTCCCTCTGCGCCCACCTAGGGCCCAGACCCCGTTCTGAGTGCTCAGACAGACAATGCTGGGTGTTCCTAGCGGTACATGCACAGGACGCCAATCCTGGACAGAGCAGGGCTTTACATCTGAACCTGAAGGATGCTTGAGTGAGGACAACTGTCCGGTGGGACAGGACTCATCCTGCGGGACGGGACACTCCTGGCTGTCACAAGGACACCTGCTCTAACAAGGTGACACTGCTATCCTTGGAGGGTGCTTTGTGGGAGCTGGTCTTCCCCATGCCAGCCGGGCTCTGAGCGTCCGCCAGCATCATGTCCACACGAGGCAGAGGAGACAGAATCCACAGAAGCAGTAGCATCTAGGAGACGCAGGCGAACAGACGGCAGCTGGCACCGGGCTGACGCGGACAGGAGTGGGGGTGGAGGGACAGACGGCTGACAGAGAAGGGGCTACTGGAAGTCAAAGTGCAGCTTCCGGGGCGTCATGAATTCCTTCACGATGTCGTCCGTGACCTCCTTGCGCCGGGCCTGGTGCTCGGCGATCAGCGGCTGCAGCACGTCGATGAGGGCCTTCTTGAGCTCACCCGTGAGCATGGCGCCACTGGTGTAGTCCTGCGGGGAGAGGGTACTGTGAAGCCGTGCTCTGCCACCCGGCACCGCTCTGCTGGGGCCCGGGCACCACTGAGCAGTCAGCCACTGGGTGCCTCTCTAGCAACCACCACACTCAACACTTGGCCTGAACCCCAACTGGGCCTTTTGCGTTAAAAAAGCCTTTTCTCATGGACTTCCTGAAGTTAGAAGTCACATACTAGACTCTTTCAGAATGTACAACTCAGAGGGTCATCACACAAGCCGGGTGGACGCGACCATGTCCAGACGACCACCCACCCTCACCGCCCGCCCAGCCTCCCACAACCACATGTCTGGCTCCCCACACAGGGCTCTCTCCTCTGGACCCACCGCCAGGGCCATGGCACGAGCTCTTCCCGTGTGGCTCTGTCACTCAGCAGGACCTTTGCACTGTTCATGTGTGCTGTCCCTGGTACTGGAGGGACATGCCTTTTCAGTGTGAATAGCATTCTGCTGTAGGGACACTCTTAACCAGCACCGGTTGCTGGGGACGCCCGTGTGGGGGGGGTTTATGCCCAGGGGTGGGTGGAATGCCAGAGGAAGGCATCGCGCTTGGTCAAGTCAAGGGTCAGGGAGGAAGAGGAAGACCCTCAACACGACGCACTGGGACAGCGGCTGCAGCCATGGCTCTGACACGATGGCTGCTGACATGGGGCCCGACTCCCCGCTGACACCTGCCTCAGACCCTGGATTGTGGCCACTCTGGAGGGGTGCCTGCTTTCCTCACACTGGCTGGGACCTCTGGACAGGCGGACACGCCACACTCCGTGTCACCACCCCCTGGCTGCTCCTCATTTTGTCATCTGATATCTTTTTTAACTATCACAGGCTATTTCCTCTTGTCACCGTTGGGTCACAACTAACCTCACCCACACAGTGTGGTTTCTGTCCTTCACAGGAGGGACCAGGACAAACGAGCCCCCACGCCAACCCCGCCACCTCACACATGTGGAAAACAGACCCCGGCCCCTTTCAGCTTCTGGAAACTCGGTGCTGAGAGGCTGCCTTGGCCTCAGTGGAAACTCGATACACACTCATCACGCACACGTACTCGGGACCCGCACCCCGAAGCAGCATCCCGGACACACCCTGGCTCTCTGACCCTTCACTGCCCACCGCCATCGGGCTGGCTCCGGCACGCGGGCTCCTCCGTCAGATTCCCAAGGCTTAACGGGTGCGATCGCTCGTCCTTTCCCCAGAAGCACCTAGTGGACTTGGTCAGCAGCACAAGGGCACCCCGCTCCTTAACTGTCACTGCTGTGTTCACTGCTGTCCTCCTTCCCCCACCACAGGCATGTTTTCCGCGTCACTGTGGGGTTCACAGTGAACTTGACCTGAAGAGTGTGGTGGTTGTCTTTTTTTGACTGAATCCACCTGGGCTCCTGCCCACTCCTGAGGGTTTATGCTGAGGGAGGTGGGCCAGGCTGTGCAGATCACCAGGGGTGAGCCCTCAGGGTCTCTAGCGGGGGGACATCAGTCACTCAGTCCTGCCTGTGTCTCAACGCCCCAGGAACACGCTGGACATGGTGGCTACTTGCTGGGGAGGCTGCAACCGACAATGAACACGTCGCTGGTACGATGTTTAGTATCATGTCCTCAGCCCTGAACTCTGAGGCTGCTCCCACCTTTGCTCTGCAGCTCAAAGGTGCTCCCTTTTCTAGGACACAAGACTTCTGGCCTTGTGCCACATACGACCTTTCCCGTGACTGAGATCGCCACCTCGGGGTCCCCTCCTTTGTCCCACCTCTGCTGAAATCCAATGTGATCAGAGGCCGGACAGGGTGTGGCTGAGTTCAGGGAATGATTCTAGGGGACAGCTGAACTTGAGGGGTGAGACAGCCAGCGTGATGGAGAGAGAGGGGCTGGGACCCCGGGGCTGATGGCTGGCATCCTGAAGGGGCAGCATTATGCCTGAATTACAGCCAGCAGATGAGACGTGAGGGTGCTGTGGGCAATCCCCAGACTGCAGGCGACCTCTGAGGTTGTGGGCCGACTCGGTAACCTGGAGGACTGTGCCCCCTGCCCTGTGAGCTGTGACCTATGTGTGGGGGTCACCAGTCATGTGGAGAGCTGGGGTCAGACACTCAGAGGTCCCGTCACGGAGTCCGCCACCCACACTCTCTGTAAAAGGTCCCAGCGCTCTCACTCAGCTACTCAATTTGCCACAAGCCTGTGTGAGCGTCGTGCGTGGCGTCTGTGTGAGCGTCGTGCGTGGCGTCTGTGTGAGCGTCTGTGTGAGCGTCTGTGTGAGTGTCTGTGTGAGCGTCTGTGTGAGTGTCTGTGTGAGCGTCTGTGTGAGTGTCTGTGTGAGCGTCTGTGTGAGCGTCTGTGTGCGTGGCGTCTGTGTGAGCGTCGTCTGTGTGAGCGTCTGTGTGAGCGTCTGTCTGAGTGTCGTGCGTGGCGTCTGTGTGAGCGTCGTGCGTGGCGTCTGTGTGAGCGTCTGTGTGAGCGTCTGTGTGAGCGTCTGTGTGAGCGTCGTGCGTGACGTCTGTGTGAGTGTCGTCTGTGTGAGCGTCTGTGTGAGCGTCGTGCGTGGCGTCTGTGTGTCTGTGTGAGCGTCGTGCGTGACGTCTGTGTGAGCGTCTGTGTGAGCGTCATGCGTGGCGTCTGTGTGAGTGTCGTGCGTGACGCCTGTGTGGTCTAGGAGTCTGTGCTGCGCACTCCTTCCTGGGAGGCAGCTGAAGTGGAGGCCTGACCGCCCCGCACGCCGCTGCCCTGGCGTACCGCCTAGCAAGTGGGCCGCGAGCACAGACAACGCGTCACAACACCCATCACTGCATTGGAACCGGCTCCCAGCTGACACGCCAGCACGTCCTCGAGGCTGTAAATCGCACAGGAGCTGCTGGTGGATTCGAACTGCTGAGAGGCACCACTTCCGGGCTAGCAGAGCAGCCCCTGCCCACGAGGACACCTTGCTGTGGGGCTATTGCTGACTCACCTAGGACTCACAGCGACCCCGTGTCCAGCAGAAGGAAAGCCCCTGCTGAGCTGGAGGCCGCCGCTGCCGCCTGGTGTCCACCCACACAAACAGCACTTAGCGTCTTTGTGGGCTCCCCTGGCTCCTGGTCAGCGAGCGTGACTGACCCTCCCTGAATCACTGGTCCCACACGGTGACCGGAACCTGGCTGGGCGCCTGCTCACCTTCCTGATCTGCTCCAGCCTGTCGTCATCCTCCAAGAAGAAGGTCAGGTACATGAAGGACACGTCCACGTCACAGTTGCCCCCGAACTGCCTGTGCTCCTCCACGGTGTCCCGCCCTCCGGAAAATGCATGCTTGTTAACCTGCACCAGCGAAGAGGACAGGGTGCCGGTCAGTGCTGGTGTGGACAGTGGGCTGGAGCTGGTGCTGGCAGGGCTCCTGTGCGGTCAGAAGCCCGGGTGTGGAGACTGAGCCACGACAGCCCAGAACTGTCCTTCCTGCCGGGCTGGGTACGAGCTCACGGCAAGGCCAGTGCGGTGGCGGGCAGGTAAGCGGTCCGCCTGCTCTGTGGGGGCATGGGAGAAAGGCCCCAGGCCTGACGGGACACCCTTCAGACAGCAGGGGACCAGAAGTCATCCTTAGCATGTCAACAGCACTGGGGGTTAGGGCTGCCAGCAGTGGAGGCCACGGGTGTGTCTGGGCCCAGATGTGTGAGCCTGTGTGTAAGTGCATGTGTGCACACGCACCCATGTGTGGCTGTGTCAGGATGAGTGTGCCGGTGTCAGTGTGCAGGCAGGTGTGATCCTGTGAGTGCACACATGGGAATGGATGTGAGCACCGGGACTGTGCAGGTGTGTGTACACGTGTAGAGACATGAGTGTGTCTCTGGGAGTTTGACTGTATGAATCTGTGTCCGTGTGTGTGTGTATGGGTGTGAACACATGTGTGTCAGTGTGTCTGTGTCTACACATGCCGCTGTGAGCGTGCCCATGTGTGTGTATGGGGGTGAACACAAGTCTCTATGAGTCTGTGACTGTGTGTACACATGAGTTGTGTGTGAACATGAGTCCATGTGGTCCAACGAGCGTGTGCCTGTGTCTGGGGGTGCCGGGTGAGCATGTCTGAACACGTGGACATGTGCCTGCTCTGGGGGAGCTCATGTCCACGCCTAGCTGATGCTCGGCTCCCCGGGCTGCCCACCTTGGTCTTGATCTGCTTGGCTGTGTCTGTTAGGAAGATGGAGGAGTTGGGGTCACTGGCACTCATTTTGGTCTGGGCCCCCTGCAGGGCGGGGAAGAAGGTGGAGTGCAGCAGAGCGGGCTTCGGGTAGCCGATCCTGGGGGCGACGTCTCTGGTCATTCTGAAGTAGGGGTCCTGCAGGGAGAGAGGTGGTGATGAGGGCGGCTCTGGCCACAGACGGCTTCCCCCACCTCGTGCAAGGGTGACCCGGACATGCCGGGCTGGCCCCACAGGCACTAACCTGGTCGATGGCACAGGGGATGAGGCACTGGATGTCCGTCCTGTCCTTGAAGATCTGTGGGAAGGAGTTGCTGAAGGAGGGTGCTGCCTGGATGGCGGGGAAGCTGATCTTGCCTGGGGAAGAAGAGAGGGCGCGGTGTCACCGAGGCTACTGCGGTTGGCGGCCTCACGGGGTGACCCACGACTTTCAGGTAACGTGCACCACATGCACAGTAGCTGAGTCACCAACATCTCCTGCCTCTGACAGGAACAGCCAGGAGAGACGTGGGAAGCCAGAGGAGGAGAAAGAAGGAACACGCGTCCCCACACTTTTCCTCTGAGCAGATCTGGTTTCTTCCTTGCCTTTCCCACTTTGTGGCCTCCACCTGACTGGTGAATAAACTTGTCCTGCCCTGCAGATGAGTCTGTCGCACTTCCTGGAAGCACCTGGTAAGGCGTCCTGGTGCGGACATTAAGTCCTCGGTTATGCACAGGGAGGAGCGTGGTCTGAACCCACCAATGGCTCTAGGGGAGAAAGATCTGGGGCCTGGCTCCCGCCCACCAATGTTACAGCCTAGGAAACCCCGGGGACAGCTCTCCTCCGGCGCCCAGCCTGTCACAAGCCACAGTTGACTTGATGGCCCCCAGTGACCTACACAACACTGTCGAAGTCACTGCCTCCACCAGCATGGACATACAGTCACACCTTTTACTCCCATAAATGATGACGATTATGTTGGCCTAGTGGGCAGGGAGCTGTGCCGCCAATCCAAAGGCAGGCAGTTCGAATGCACCACCAGCAGCTCCTTAGGAGAAAGTGGCCAATGTCCACTGGTGCGATTTACCACCTCTGAAACCCGCTGGAGGGTCAGCTACGAGGCAGTTCTGACTCCATACAGTGAATTTAATGAGTCTTTCCCAGGAAGTCCTGTCTCTGGTCCACTTTCCACTTCACAGACCCAACTCCTGATCCCCAACTCCAGGACGTTTTTCTTTCTCTCAAGGTCCAGCTTTGAGGTTGTCAGGTGTGACTGATTGGGACACCACACTGAAGGGCTGTGCAAGGCCTCCAGCCAGGCCCCAGCATGTGTCCCCCACACAGAGAGCTGGGGAGCGTGTGTCCCCTACACAGAGAGCTGGGGAGCGTGTGTCCCCTCCACACAGAGAGCTGGGGAGCGTGTGTCCCCCACACAGAGAGCCCGGGGAGCGTGTGTCCCCCACACAGAGAGCTGGGGAGCGTGTGTCCCCCACACACAGAGAGCTGGGGAGCGTGTGTCCCCCACACAGAGAGCCCGGGGAGCGTGTGTCCCCCACACACAGAGAGCTGGGGAGCGTGTATCCTCACACTGAAAGCCCGGGGACTGTGTCCCCCCACACAGAGAGCCCGGGGAGCGTGTGTCCCCCACACACAGAGAGCTCGGGGAGCGTGTATCCTCACACTGAGAGCCCGGGGACTGTGTCCCCCACACAGAGAGCTGGGGAGC